TACTTTATCTCCTCATCTATCGTATAAAAATTACCACTTTAGTCTGTTATTTGAAATTAGCATCTTCAACTATAAACCAATAAATATAATATTTAATCATATTAGATTTTCGAAGTCGTTTGAAACGTGTAAGTTTGAATAAACCGCCTTACGCTTGCGTTTGGACCGTTTTCCGTCAGTTGAATGCACCATCGCCTGAATACCAGAACCGTCTTTCGTTTGAAAAAAATATTAAAATCTCCGCGATATTATCAACAATCAATACGAAACTAACGATTTTAAATTGGCTCACCACTTTAGTAGCCTATTGGTCCCAAGCAAACGATTAACGTACCCTATTCTAGTTGAAATTCTATTACTACACTATGTTTGTTTTGATTCGCTATGAAAGTTTGACAGATAACATCAGGGGTGTGTGGATTCATGCAGAACATGCAGGGGTGAGTGAAATAGCTTGGGACTGCTTGGGACCGTTGTTCTGGTACTGAGTGAGCCAAAAATAATAATGATTTTCTTCGGGAACCAGTGGTCTTAGAGTTACCGCTATGATATTATAGCGCACACGTTAGATTAGTCGCAAATATGCACGATATTTCATGAAAATTTAAGTCTAATTTCGAATAAATCAGCAATGTTGTATCCAAGCATGTCAGCAGATTCGTTCTTTAGGCCACACATTGCTCTAATAATAATAATCTAACATTAAACGAGGAGAGGTTTTCCGCGATAGATAAAATTAAGAATTTTGTTTGTATATCGAGATCTCTGCCATTTGGTCAGACCGTGGAATTGAAACCAAAAACGGTGGATCTTGTCAACTGAAAGACCACCCTTAGTTAAGCTGTGTAGTTACTACGCTTCCAATCTGAATCTTAATTCCTCGATGTCGGGGAGCATTTTCACCTCGAATTGGGCAGTTCGTCTTCTCCAAAGTTCCAAGTTGCAAACTGCTTGTTTACATCAGAATAAGGATTTATCACAACGCAAATTAAAACATTAGTCCTTGAAAATCTTGCCACTTTACATCGGTAATTGCAGAGTTGGTAACGGTCAGTGACGTTTGACGAAAACCAAAAATAGTTTGTCACGGTACCAAAATCATTTGTTCCATACATCCCTCTTCAGTGACGAAAAGGGTCGGACAGTGGGATTTTGGATCTAATTTCCGTCCTACTAAGCGCTTTACCTCTCTTTTTAGAACGGGTTTGAACAAAAAATCGAATATTTCTATCAAAGATTACTTTTAAATTTATTCACCTTTGCATACGTACCGTTGGATTTGATAAAGAGTCACAAATTGTTTAAAATCTAATACTGCTTCTTGATTCTAAATTCGTCCTACAGGTTTCAATTCCATCCTAACGCATTGAAACGCCATTAGATTTTCTTTGTTGTACGGATAAAGGTGGAAAAAGGGAAGCGCTATGAGCGCCTCTTTTGTTTTGAGAACAATGAGCGTAAATATTCATACAATGCGCTCTAATAGGATTTATGCAGTAGCTAATGAACTAACGCATAGGAACACACTTATTATGGATTTGTGCACGGTGAAATCATTGATATTATTGATCTTTTCGGAAAGATAGAACGGAAATGACTAAAATATAAACGGACTACTACATACTACAGGGGTGCACCAATAAACAAAAAAAAAAAAGTTGCAGTAGAAATGAAGAAAAAGGCAATAAACAAATAAAAAGCTTCTTTTAATAATTTGAATGTGAGCGGTGAAAATGGCAAAAATGGCAATAGTAAATAGAGTACGCTCAATTATATAAGGATGAATCTCCACTAAATTAGGAAATTTGAGCAATAAATAACTCACCTACTTTACCTGCAGTTGAACATATTTTCCCATGAATGCGTGTTCGATGTACAAGATGCGAGTGCTATGTCTGTTTGTCTGTGGTTCGATGAAGATTTGCAGGTTTTTAATAGATATTGTTTTCGTTCTTAGTGACCTTCATGGCGTATAAAATGCTCAGTTTATTTTTCAAAGTGCTAATTTTATACGTTTCTTGCTCAATTCTTATTTTTTGTTGAGCGTTTTTGAAATTTTCCCTGGGACATTCATTGTGCTTTTTGTGTCTTTTATTTAACTTTATATTGCTCAATCGGCATTTTCTAGTGCTCTTTTGTGACGTATATATTGCTCAAACAGCTGTTTTTAGTGCTTTTTGGATTTTGTTTAATGGTAACTTATTCAATGAGACCCACATTCGTTAATCTTCTTTATCGACATCGCCTTTGTTAGCCGAGGCACAGTATCATTACTTATCGCTGTCTTGGAAATACCATATGGAAATTGATCTGGGTTATTGGCTCATAAACTTTCAATTTAAAGGAATATTTCCTGAATATCATTGAATTTTTTAATTTTATATTGCGCAGTGTTCGTGTTAAATAGCTCATTTTTACTTTCCTGTGTGAATTATTTTCTTTTCTTTAAGAACGATTCATATTTTACGATGGCTCATCCTCATGTTCAAGCATACATTTATCTCCTGGTTTCTGGAACTTTTTCAGTTTTTAAAAGATATTTTCATTTTTTTTTTTGGGGAAATAATCACAGAATACAGAATATTTGGATTTAAACAGTGATAACTGTGCGGTTTGTGTGGGACATTTTAGATTTATTTATCGTGGTTATTAAATATGACATTGTTCATTTTGCCACTTTTATGGGAAAATATGTTCAACTGCAGGTGACGTAGGTGAGTTATTTAGTGCTCAAATTTCCTAATTTAGTGGAGATTCATCCTTATATAATTGAGCGAACTCTATTTACTATTGCCATTTTTGCCATTTTCACCACTCGCATTGAAATTATTAAAAGAAGTTTTTTATTTGTTTATTGCCTTTTTCTTCATTTCTATTGCAACTTTTTTTTATTTGTTTATTGGTGCACCCCTGTAGTATTTAGTGGCCAATTTGAGATTTTTGTATTGCTCATTTCACTTTTTTTATGGATGATTAATTGTGTTGCCGAACGGAAATGGGTGATTACAACGAAGTAGTGCTCTACCCTAATAATTAAAAAAAAATATATAACGCATCTTTTACCTCTACATAGGGTTTGTGATCTAATTTCCGTCCTACTAAGCACAACCCACGCTTAACCTCTCTTTCTTGAACGGGTTTTAACAATAAATTAAATGTTTCTATCAAAGATGACTTCTAAATCTATTCCCCTTTGCATAAGTACCGTTGAATTTTATGAAGAACGACCCATTATTGAGATATTGTTAAAAATCTAACACTGCTTCTTGATTCCAAATTTGTCCTACGAGTTTCAATTCCGTCCAAACGCATTGAAACGCCATTGGAGTTTCTTCGTCCTACGGATGAAGGTAGAAAAAGCGAGTTTGCTAGGAGCGCTTCTTTTGTTTTGAAAACAATGAGTGTAACTACTCACACAATACGCTCTAATAGGCTTTGTGTTGTAGCTTGGGAACCCTAATAAATTTGCTATGGTTATTTTTCTTAACGACGTGTTTGGGGTAACATCCAAACCATTTGTGGAAAAGTTCGACTATTTGGGTTATTGTTCGTTTATGGTATTTTTTTATTAGGGAACTAACGCATCGGTAAAAAGTATTCCTGATTTGTGCACGGTGAAATCATTGATTATACTGATGTTTTCTGCTTGATAGAACGGAAATGGACGATTACAAAGAAGTAGCGCTCTACCCTACTTCTCTTTTTTTCGATTATACATACATCATACATCATACACAGGGAATCAAAATCACCGAATCAGATAAAAATAATGTCAATCTCATTTTAGTCACAACGGACAGTTTTGGAAAAGAAAATGCGATTATCATTTGTGTTACAGATTATGATCATATGAACATCATCATCAACCCAGATAACACTATCAACTGTCATCGCTGAAAATTCCTCATATAAGACAAGAAAAATCAAATACCCTTTAATATGGGTATTCTCGGAACGGGGATGACGTATAGGGATCGAGAAACGATGTTCGTCTCCATTTGGAATCCAACATGGTGTCCATCGATTTCAGAAAGCTGTCAAATACCCTGTAATAAGGGTATTTTTGGAACAGTAGTACCGTGTAGATTTCAAAAATTTATGCCCGTCGCCATAGAGGTCTCTAACACCGTTAGTATTAGTGAGAAATTTCACTAATACATGCATTCTACTGGTTGAAAATAAAAAACAAACCGCTGTCAACTCGAACACTTTGACAGCTGATTTCGTGGTTGAAAATAATAAACAAATCGATTTTACACGGCTACGCTAGCTAGGTTGTATTAGTGAGATCTTGCGTCGAGAAGTCAATTTGGGAATCCAAGATAGTGGCCATCGATTTCAGAAAAACTGTCAAAGACCCTACAATTTGATGTTCTTCTATTCACCACCAGAGGTAGAATCGGTCGCTTAGTTTCTATGAAAAATGCGCATTCTTGTCCGTTGTTTTGCGCTGAAAGTGGAAATCCGATGCAATTTATAATGTTCAGAGACAGTAGCACTGTCACTCGTGGCAAGATCGTCTCATAGCACAAATCATCATGTCGAGAAAATCGCGTTCCAAGTTTTCTTCGCTCCATTGCATCTTATGTAATGAAACAACCCATTCTGCTGTTAATACAAACTTTTCTGGGGCCAAGCATTTATTTTTTAGCTGCTGAATGCTAGTCAGACACTTCTATGTAGAACAGATGCTAATGGTGAGGTGGTTTTAGGTTCTTATAGCTGAACAAACTGCTCAGTAGATGAAGATTGCTTTCGGATAATGTGTCACATCCTGCCACATTGATAAAAAGCTCCCACTGCTTGTCCAAGATAGCTACCGGTCAGTCCAGTAGCTAACAGCTAAGCTCTACTGAGCCCTCGCTTACTCTAGCGGAGCATCACATTGGATAGTTATCGTTCACGATAAAATCACTTAAATCAGTTTTGTAGATAATTATGTCCTCAGGAATGCGGTGAGTTTTCAAAGGGCATGTTCGGCCATAAATAACAAGCCCATATAAGGAGATGTGGTTTATTAGGTTTGAAATTCAGTTCCCTATATTGGCTTAAACGATACTAGGCTTTGGAAATGTTTTCTCTTAAATTGTCCGGTTCTATTGCTTCTTTAATTTTGAAATTCGGCACTTTGCATTTTCCAGCCACTTAATGCTACACCTATATTTATATTACAAAAATGTCGTTAATTGTAACTTGTCGAGGCAAATGTGCCACCATAGAAAAGAATGGAGTGTTTGTAAAAGTTGTTTTTACTTATCTAACTCGCATACATATGAATTATGACAGTTTTTCCTCTTCGTTGGACCTTACTTACTGACTACACGGGGTTGCTGCACATTTTTTGGGCAAAATCATGATAACCAAGTGTAATATTTCATGCTTACAATCTAGCAGCGTGGGCTAATAAGGATGGCACTCGCATTCTCAATTAGTATTTGCTGTTCTCGTGCTTCGCGTAGTGGATGAACGCAAGGACCGAATCGGCCAGGTACAGGGCACCGGACACAACGCAAAGCGCTCCCAGGGCAAGTCCAGCCTGAGGAGGTGTGGGAGGAAGAGAAAAGAAAAATTGCATAAAGTTTAATTGGGAAAAGTGCTTGGGCTGAGGTGAGATTCTTTTTTTTTTTTTCATTCGTTAAGGTGAATGAGTGGGGAACCTTAGGTAATGTTAAGGATGAGATGTGGTGACAAAGATATGTTTTGGAATGAAAATGCTTGTGAGTTGATTTAGTCGAAATGTTCTTACCGTTCGCTCCGATGTGATGTGCTGGAAGTCATGCTCCGCCAAATAACCGTGCCAGTAGTGCAGCGCTGTGCCTCCGACGGCAACCCACATAAAGGTACCGACCACATTCATTATCGTATCGGAGAGTTCACGCTTTAGCTTGGTCGTACCAAAGCAGAACGTAATCAGCTGGACCGAGGTGTAAATGAAGTAACCGACAAACACTCCGGAGGCCACAATTTCCGCATCGGGACTTTTCTCTTCGTTCAGGTTCCATGTGCCACCGACACCAAGAAAGTCACCTCCGTAGCCGGTCCGATAGATGATGAGAATCACCAGATTCAGTGCCTAATTGGGTGAAGAAATGGAAACGGAGTGCAAATAGAATTAGATTAGTGCTCAACGACGCGCTATGATGGTGGCAATTTAAAAGAGAATGTGCTAATCCTACGTTACAAATAGAGAGAGCATCGGACTGTTTATCGCTATACTGACTGAGCGTGAATGAAATGAACAATTTAAATTATCATTGGAAATTTTTCCACTCTTTTCTGATTTAATACAGAGTTTAACAGCTGAAATTGAAAACCCCCGTTTAATCAATGGATTTCCAAAAGAGTACCCATTGTAGAGTCTATTTTAATGCAGGGCCGCAGCTTGATTTGCATAAACATATTACGCTCCGTTGGAATGGAATTTAAAACTCATTCTTTGTCATAAATTCAACATTCTCTCACGGTGTTGGTAATTGAAATTTCCGAGGGTTAGAATGTTTCCACAAAATATTTCTCAAATAGAAGGGAACAGGACAGTGGTAATAATTACGGTCCTTTCGGTTGGTGGTACCAAAACGGTATGAAGTTGGGCCTGTATCAACACCTGCCCACAATGGAACGCCCTAAACGTGCTAGTTGCAAAATGGATCCCTATGATGAATCAACTGTTTGTACGCTCTGCTCCCCCAAACTACGCAGTGTGGAAATATGCTGGGAGCTTTTTCTGAGAGGGATTGCTCACCACCTGTGACTAATGATGGACAATTTAAGGCAATTGATCATCAACAATCGTTTTCGTGATTTTTACAGATTTAAGAGAAGCGAACGGGAGCTTCTTTTGACCTATCCTGTGGATACCAGTGCTCTATATTTTCGAAGCTCTAAAATGAACTCGAGTTTTGATTTTTTCAGCACGAAACGAAAATGAAAAGAAGCACGAAAGGCTGTCTGTGGATTTTTTCAACGATGTGTTGCTTTGGTCACCGAAAGTAACGTAGATTATCGAGTTGAAACGGAACCTCATTATGACTTTCAATCCTTTCCACCGACACTTTATTTAATATGCGTTATGTCGCGTTTTCGTAACTTTTTTGATAAATATGTGGATGGAAGAAAAATTAAACATATTACGTATAATCTTCAAGTATTTTCACGTAATGAATTGATTATATATTTTTCTCATATTTCGTTACATAACGGGTGTTCAATAAAAAATGAGATTTTTTTCAGTCTAGTAAAAAAGCTAGTAGCTTGTAAAACATTTTTTTTCAACGAATTCAGTATTTTTAATAAAAAACATAATGTTTATTATGTTTTTAATTGAAAATACTGAATTTGTTGAAATTTTTTTTCTAGCTACTAGCTTTTTTACTAGACTGAAAAAATTCTCATTTTTATTGAACACCCTTTATGTAACGAAATATGAAAAAAATATATATAATTAAAAAAAAACGACAATGAATATTGGAGAAGGGGTCCTGGTCAGCCGTACGACGCAACTTAGTCGTGATGCTCTCACAAGAGCGCTGGACGGCACTGAAATCATTCTCATTTTTTATTGAACACCCGTTAGAAACCTCGGTTGATGTGTTTCATGAAAGACGAAAGTTTTAAAGTCGAGAGATCTTTCACTTGCCCGATTCACCAAAGCTTGGAAGAGAGACAATTGAAGCGCCTGGAGAAAAGAGAGACAAACAATTGAACATTTCTAGATAGAGCTGGAATTAGGGCGAAACAGCTTTTGTAAACAATGACTTCTCTCTATGTTTTCTAGGAATTCAAGGCACGTCCACGCAAATCAACATAACCATCGGGTAGGGGAAGTCTTCTTCTATCCCATGATGATGTTGATTTGCGTGGGTGAGCCTTAACTTTCTAGAAATCACCGAGAGAAGTCATTGTTTACAAAAGCTGTTACGCCCTTATTCTAGCTCTATTTAGATTTGTTTGTAGACGCCGACTGAGGTTCTAGAACGCTGCGATGCTGCTCGACTTCAACAGAAAAGGAAAGGTAGCAGTCTATTCGTCGCATCAATTTTGTCGATTGAAGCTAATATTGTGAAGCCCTGGTGATATGGTAGGAAAGCAAGACCATGCTGGAAATGGTAGGTTCAAATTCGGCACGGTCGAGGCTCTTTCCACGGTTGGATTTTTGTCTCGCCTTGCTTTGAAATGTTAATTTATTTTTTGGGATTTTATACGTCTTAATTCATTAATATTTATCATACCGAAAATTTTCCAGGATCAAGACATTAACCGATACATACAGTAAAAGTATTGAGTCTAAAGATCTATGACTAGACTATGAGTGAGCTTTCTTATTCCGAGTGTTTTTTTTTTATATCGCACGCAAGAGGGGAAGTTATTTGGTAAAGGTATGCAAAACCTTATTTACTAAAAACTTGACTAGTAAAGTCTTGTCAATTTCAATTGGGCCTGACATTCAATGCATGTTTGACAGGAGCTACAACATTAGTGTGTACCGCTCGGGATTTTTTAAATGGAAAACAGTTTTGACGTATAGAGGGTGCTGATTGAAACTTTTTTTGACTCCAGGAAAGCAAAACGTGTCAAAGTTCGATTGATTGTTCCATTTTTTGAAATCCAATTTTTTTTTCGGAATTTTGAAATGTATTGTAAATTACACATATATACACACTTGCCAAGTCAGAAATTTTTACCGAGTTTTTGAATTGCGGAACTCTTCGGTAAAATTTAAAAAATCTGTGAAAAATTAAAAGTTGAGAAAATGTGTTACGAAAATTTACAGACTTACTTCTGTTAACACCGTGTAATACTGAAAATAAGAATTTTTCGATTTTATCCAACTTTTACGAATAACAATCATTTGAATTTTAACCGAGTTTTTCAGTAATCCAAAAATCCATTTAAAAATAATGACTCTTGTAAAAAAAATCTAAGTGTGTAGGCATTATCCGAATGGTCGAACGCTAATGAGACAAATGGGTCATTAGACTTTATATTCGAAAGTGACTGATTATACTGACTAGAAAATAATTTTAAGATTACGAACTAAGAAAAATCATAACTATTCTGGGACATGAGATTTTGAGACAAGGTCTTATGTTTCATATTTTCAAACTTGAATTATGAGAAAAATCCTAAAACAAATCCTAGGGATAATTTAAGAGATGATTCGACTAGAGCTTCAAAGTAATTTAAAGAACTATTTGAAGAGATTTGGTATGAGCACTAAAGGTGGATTCCAAAGTAAATCAGAAGAAAACTATTTGAAGATTGTGAAGAAAATTTCAAAGAAATTTAGTAAAATTTTTGGGAGCCTTTTTAGGAAACTCTAAGGATTATTGAAAGGGTATAAACCATTCTCACTGTGAATCTGTAACTTCGTATTTGTTAGCCAAGGCGGGCATGTTTCGATGCCTTCTCACATTATTTAAGAAACTAACCAGTCTGAAAAAACTGACTGTTTATTTATCCAATCAAAGTCGATTCTGAGAAGAACTCCTACACACTTAGAAATAACTAATTTAATTGTAAACAAACAAGTCATGTATTATTAAGTGCTCCGAGACTGAAAAGTTCGTTGCTCGACGAAAAGTACGTTTGATTAAGCTATATTAGCTATGTCAAAATTGACGCTCGTATATGTCACTCTCAGAGCACCTACATTTACATGATTTTTTTTAAGTGTGTAGTCACTACTGTTATTAATTCCAAGGGAATCGAATTATGTGGATAGTTCCTGAAATTGCAGCATTTTAAGCTAATGATACAGATAGTTTCAAAAGAGTTCTTAGGAGTATTCTTAAAAGATTATGAGTAAATTTAAAGGAATTTCAGGGAAGGTTCTAGAGAAATTCTATGGATAATTCAAAAAGAATTCTGAACAGCAGTTCTGGGCTAGTCTAAAGAAAATTCCAATAGAATTTCGAGAAGAAATCCAAGGGAATAGTTTCAAGGGAAATTGGAATAGAATTTCAATAAATTTCAAAAAAATGAGTCCAATTTGAAGCAATAATAAAAATAGTCATAAGTGACTCTGGCAACTTTTTGGAATGTTTTTTAGATTCAGAAAGATATCTTTGAATCTTGCAATATGTGTGTATAATAATTGTACATTTGATAACGATAGTATATGCATGTGGACCTTATTGTACCTCAGCATGAACATGAATTTCCACAGACATTCGAATATGGGTCGTTGGGCTATCAAACTGAGTTATAACCTTTTAATTTTTCATCTTCTTTCTTTGTTAAAGAGACTTTCAGCCTGGTGCATCTCTGTGAATCCCAGAAAGGGGGTCCCCGAAAAGAGGGTGGGTCCCAGAAAGACGTCCCCTTAATACAAAGTTTTTCTATATACAATTTAGGGGAGGGGGCATCACCTTCTAACTTATCTCGGTAATCAAGTTATAGTGAGAGATAAATTGAAGGTACACATGTACTTCTATTCCGATTTCATTTACTTAGGTCTTCATCTCCAGGCTTTTACGTTCCTACACGAGCTAAAGCCTGCTTTCGACTTTGTGTTTGCGAATTGCTTCCACAGAGCTTTAAATGTCAATGTTGAAAAAAGAAAAGAAAATGTACTCCATTGTATGGCAATCACAATGCTATATGCCCAATGGAATTGAACCTGCCACATCCGTGCCTTAATTGATTGGAATTTCTGAGGCCACATTATCAGGTCAAAGATTGCATATTTTTGCACAAAGTTGGCCATTAAACAAATATGTATTAAACATTTAATTTGAACCTAATACGAATCGGCTTGTTTCAGATTAAAGGTTTTCTAAGTAGAATGATTTTTTAAGATTATCCAACTTTTACAGATAGCATAAGATCCGTCAAATATTATAAAATATGATATTTTTTTAATAATTTAAGTCAAAACATTCAAAATATTCCTTATCAGTTATTCCTACTCAATAAGTTTATTTGAATTGATTGGCAATCGAACAATATTCAAGATTTCTATGACTCCACTAAGTTCTGTAATTTATACTTATAATAGTACCACCTTATTGGTTTCCGTTTAGTAAATCTCAAATTTACACAATGACCATAATTCTAAACGTCGGTGAATCAAGCATTGTGATCCGATCCAAAATAATATTAACCTTTCATTCAGCTACGATGAACCAAAGATCTTGATAACGATTTAAAACTTCAGATATCCAAAAGATTTAAATTCCTAAGTTCCCACGATAAGATTAAGACAAAAGTTTTCACCAACATGAATCATATTTTTATCACATCTAGATGACTAATCCTGTTTCCAACTCCATTTCAACACCTTCATTCAGGCACACCTGATAACGCATGGTTCGTAGTATTTTTGTTATCACTCAAACATAAACAAACACTCAATGTACCTGCCACGACCACAGTCAAAGTTCGCTTGCCTAGCCTGCCACAATCCGTTATCTGGGTGTGGCAAAAAAAACGGCAATTTTATAACAATTCATAAGTGACCTTATCACTTTTCCATTACGAATCGCTACCACTCGAATGAGTCTACCGCCTTTTCCTGTTAATGACGAAACTTTTTCACTCTGAATTCAGAGAACAAGTGCATTTTACCCTACGATTTCGGTTTTTATTCACACACCTACCTGCCCACATCTATTGCTTTCAAAAGTTTCTCCCGCAAATAGCTTTCATTCGGTTTGGTTCCCAGCCCTACCATCCTTAGCACATGGCACCGACCGAAAGACGATGGTTTTCACTTTCTGACTACTTTTCCGATTGGAAAATTTAGTGCACTCGAAGCAAAGTGTAAACTGTCTTAGTTTCGACTTTTGATTGGAATCCTGTTGGCAAAATCAATTTAGAAATGAATCCAGTCCACAAGACCACCCATTGACAGAACACTGTCACGGTTTCAGACAGTCGATATCTCAACTTCGTGCGCTTCATCACGAACAACTTTTCTTAGAATCGTCACAGTCGTTACCACCTAAACTTTCCGCAGCTGGAGTGTTTCAAAATCGATCACGAAAGCACTGATTTGTGATCCGTTTTAAAATTAGACTTGACTGTTCGCTTTCTCCACACTTGTATACACGTTCCCTAAACTGAGTGACTTAATTGAAATCTTACCAATTTGAACACTTTGATGAATATCGATCCGATCGTTTCTGCGGACACCATTTTGTCCAGTTGTGGGTTGACTTCCGGACTACTTTATGCTCTACTTTTCGTATTTCGTATCACTGTCTGCTCGTCAACAGCGATGGATTGTCACCTACGGAAAACAAGACTGTCGAAATTGAAATAGTTTCTATAGTTTGCCTACTATCCTAGAATGATGGCAAACGAATCAAGCACAAGTACCTTTTCAGACGAGATAGACAGAAGCGGAGCGTGTCACTTGATGAACAATTAAATTGATTCTGAACGTCTTTACCTTCGGCAGGTATTCCGAACGGGCCGGGCTTATCTTTCAACACTTGCTCATCGGTTGCAACAATATGGCGAACCAGATATACGAGATAAGATAAGACCGCGAGTAGTGAATTGGTCTCCCCTTGGTGAATATGTAGGTAAATAATGAACATAGGGAGTGCTGAGTACAGCAAGATTTGTCACTGAAGAATAAAATAGAACATGTTTGCCTGGCCCATTGGATGCGGTTACAGGTGAAAATCTACTTGCGCTTGCATACATATGAGACCCGTTATCTGGTGTAAGTTGTGATAAGCGATACAGTCACAGAAATTACTCGGAATTATGAAACTGAGTGTTTTCATTATGTGTGAAATGTTGGTCACTCATCAACGAATCCAACTACATAGCAGCTTTCAATTGAAGGAGAGTTCTTGATTTTTATTGTTTATATAAAGACTACAGTGCGCTCCAAATGTTGCGATACGTAAACTTAAATCATAAAAATAATTTGAACACGATAATTTATCAAAAATTTATGGATTATATTCTTCCCATTTACTATCGAAAAACAACGATATGAATTAAGACATTTTTATCAAACAGTTAAATGAAACACTCAAAAATCAATTATTTCAAAACGTGTAGCGTGCGAAACGCGTCTAACAGATTTCCGTCTCCTGAAAACGTTCACTGGCTCCATAAACGGACGGCTTAAGGTAATACGGCACGTCATGCAACAATGGCTGTCCCTACAATCATTAAATAAACGTGTTTTGGTATGCGTACGAAGGACATCTTCCTACAGAACAGTAAATTACTAATAACATACCTTAAAAAATGGGCCTGAACTGTATGAATAAGATCTGAATACATATTTCAATACTTTTCCACGAAAATATTGCCAATTCATTCACGCATTGGTAATATTGGCATTAAAAAATACGATTAGCCGATTTTGTTCTGCTCAGGGCATTAAATTTCAATAACTGTTTTCACTAGCTTTCACTTCTCAGAACCACACTAAAAACAATTACGACACGTGCTTCTACAAGCACTTTCAAGTTAATTCACTTTTAAAGACGCCATTTACTTAAGTAATATCATTTGCATCGTTAAAAACGCGAACCGCGAATAATTTCGCAAGCTGAAACTGTTTTGTTTACCTTTTTTCTACACACCACATTACGAAGGTGTGTGTGTACGAACCACCTATCATCGTATCCAGTGTTGTTGATTTAATTCGAACAAAGTGTGTAAAAACATTCTTTTATTGCTTTTTAAGATGCTTAAACTGTGTCCAATTTAGAAACCGTCACTTATTAATGTTAAAACAATTTCTTATTTTTTTTTTCTCAAGCCAAAAATTAAACTAAATTTAATAAACCTAGACATCTTCTATAGAAAACATATGTGTCGTTCTGGTTGTACTGCTCGAAGCCATCAGCTGATATGCAAACGGCGGCAAAAGGATGATTCGAAAACGAAAACATACACGATAAAAAAAAATATCCAGCGGCCAGTTCATTTTTGCCTACTTTTGACTTTGAGTATAATCACGTTGAGTATAATCATATTCACCTACTTTTGGGTACAACTAACTATTTTTTGGGTAGAAGTGAATTGTCAATTCCACACTAATTGAACACAATCAAATAAAAACTCTTCGACCCACATTACTTACTTTTGGCTTCCTGCAATATAGTGCCGAGATTTGTGAAAATGAGCCACTTTGGAATATTTTTTCTTACCGTGTACCTGGAGGTTTGAGCTCTGGAATCACTTTTGGACAGGTCGTTTGTAACCAAAGTGTACAAAGTGTGATGTTGAATCAATTAACTACCATGATAACATCCCGAGCAAAGCTGGAGATCAAATTGAAATCAAAATTTGCTATTATGATGTAACTTATTTTGAATACTCCAGTTGATCTCATTTTGGTTGACTTGGCGGTTAACACAGCAAAAATGAGAGCAAAATGTTACACTGTTGAATCAAACGGAAAACTAATCCTGCTGTCAATTAAATCAATTTGATTACTGATTTTGCATTCATGTTGTTTAACTGAATACGGGCCTGGTATAAATGGTTAGCATCCATGCTTCTCACGCTGAAAGAGTTGAGCTCAAATCTCACCCCGGGCAAAACACGAATGACCTAAACTGTGTTATACAAAACAAATAAACAATAATCGTTAGTTCAACAACAGATGAACTTAAATTAAATTTTAAACAGGACGTTAACAGCAGAACTTCAAGTTAAGTTCTTTTTATTTAAAATGTCTTGACTGCATAATGAAAGCACAATATTATATCAGACAACTGTCGCGGCAATTGGAATCAAATTTAGTTTTCATTATGATAGGAACTGCAAACTTTAATATCGATTTGCTTTCATTTTGTTAACCGACTTTGCTCGGGATGACATGTTGGTCTTGGTGGCTAGGCGCATAATTATTTTCTGTATAGGAAGGGGTGTCCTGGGAGGTGGTAGATCGATAATATTGGCAAATTGAATAGAAATGTAGTTATAGCCTCAATATAGGATGAAAAAGAGATATCTTTATCTTTTTAAAATTGGCGAAGGTTGAAATTTTCAGTAAGATGAACATAACTTATTCTTTGCCTTTCTTATTTTTTTATCACCTGTTACACATTCGACCTAATAATAACTAACTCTAGCAGCTATGTTTATGGTAGTTGCGGTAGTGCATGATGTACACTCCCACCACTACAGCATCAATGATAATCAATTCACTGACACATAGAAAGGAGAGAAAAAAAAAGCAAAAAAAGCGTGACGTATCGTATCACCTTAAGTACCACCTACACTGAACCAAAACATCCGCATTACTTCGAATGATTATTGCATTGCTCGAGCCCTTTAACAATATGTGTTGGCTCGACTGCCAACGTGATGTTTGACTTGAATCTAAAACGGCTGCTCGTTGGGCCTTGCCAACAGATGACGACAAATTCCAGCTGCACCAGCTGCGAGCCGACATCGCTTACTCGGAATCGGTAGTTCTTAAAAGAACACCGCGAAAGTAAAACTCTTTTTAGAGCAGCGACGGCAACAAGCAACGGTGGGAACAGCAACTCTCCATTTCGGAAGTAGAGGGAACAGGAACTCCACTGAGCAGGACCACCGACAAAACTAGGACGGTAACAGGGACCCCTTGCATCGATATCGAATCGACGGGAAAACTGGAATTTTCTTTCTTGGATAGGATAACTTCAGCTTCTTCACTTTATATCTATATTGCTTGGCAATTCGGAAACGACTGACCATGTGAATGCGTGATTCGCTTGGTTTTATACTTTTTTGAATCAAAGAGAAATTAAATGACGATGATGATTGGTCTAACAATCTACTACGCAAAACGGAATGAACGTGTACAATGTTATAAAAGCTAGTTTCTGATTGGATGTTTACACTTATTTCTGTTCTTATTGCTAGTGTTAGTAAGGGAAGCCGTTTGCCCGCGGCGTTCTCGGGGTTAGTAAAACAAAATGCAAGGAGGGGAAAAAGGATAGGGAAATATTTCTGCTGTGCTGATTTCTGCGGCCAACATCGGAAACGTGGAGTGGTTAGCGGTGGCGGTGTAATCGATACACGGCAGTGGTACCAATCTATTCGCTGTTGCGAACATCCTCCCCGGCGCAAAGAGATGGGTTGCCAGACGTCGTAGTTTGATCAGCGATGTGTCGCTCCTGTTTATCTAACGGTAAAACAGATATTTTTGTTATTGGGCGCCGAAAATTCGAATCTCCAACCTTAACGTCAACAACACGCACCAAACCGTCTTCCCCAGGATATGTGTGGACTATTTTTCCCAACTTCCACTGCTGTGGTGGCAGATTTTTCTCTTCAACCAAAACGACGGTACCGGGGGCGACATTCTCTAGACGAATCCGATTTTTCCCTCTAGGCTGTAAGTTTACGAGATAGTCATGAGCCCATGACTTCCAAAAATGTTCCCTCATCTGTTGTAGGTGTTGCCACCTTGACAAACGATTTTCGTTCAAACCTTCATAAGAAGGCTCAGGGACAGCGGTCAATGGCCTTCCAATGAGGAAATGTGCAGGAGTTATAACTTCACCCTCAGTTGGGTCATCAGAATGCGAAAACAGCGGTCGAGAATTAAGAATGGCCTCAATTTGTGTGAGCAATGTGTAAAACTCCTCAAAAGTCAAAGGTGTTTGCTTCAGAATACGCTTAAGGTGGTATTTCGTACTTTTGACCGCAGCTTCCCACAAACCACCAAATTCCGGAGCTTCTGGGGGAATAAAATGCCAAACAATCTCTTTAGTTCGGCAGAAGGCTTCAATATCGTGGACAGCAATGTGGTCACGGAATAAGAGGAAAAGGTCATGTAGTTCTGCCTGGGCACCCCGGAAATTGCTACCATTATCCGAGTGTAGCTCTCGAATCAAACCTCTTCGACTTACAAACCGCTGCAGAGCAGCAATAAAGGCAACAGACGTCATATCAGACACGAGTTCGAGATGAATAGATTTCGTCACTAAACAAACAAACACCGCTATATATGCCTTAACGAGAGTCGGTTTTCGGGATCCTTGTTTGATCAGAAACGGTCCTGCATAATCTACCCCGGAAACTTCAAAAGGAGCGGCAGGCGTTACGCGGCTTTCTGGCAAACTACCCATATACTGGGCAGTTCCTCTAGGCTTCACACGGAAGCATCGAACACATCGTCGTGTTATCTTTCGTACTGCAGATCGGGCACCGAGTAACCAGAAGCGTTGGCGTAGCGTGGTGTTCATGAAGGTGTTCTACATGATATGCTTGAATAATGAGATCGGTCAAAGGATGATTAGGCAAAATATACTGATGTTTCGTATAGAAAGGGACACGAGAATGTTGGATCCGACCTCCTACGCGTAGAACACCATCCTTCAGAAAGGGTCCTAGCATACCAATCCTTCGACAGGGTTCCTGATCCTCAACTCTCTGAATTTCATCAAGAAGTGTTTCATGCTGGATGACCTTTACGATTGTGTGAAGTGCAGAT